TTTTGGTGTCGATCATTCGATTTCATCCTGGACACTACAGAAAATGGGCTTAAAGTGTAAAAAACCGAACTTCTCCTTTAAAGGAATATCAGGGTACCTTATAGACATAAATCTTCTACCACATTGTACAAAAAATAACTGAATGAGTATCAACTGGTCAGTTTTAACATTTTGGCCACTAACAGATAAATTGCATCTCATTGATGCATATTGCTCAGTGGGATATACAATAAATAGTCAAATACTTTTACTGTCTGCTTCCCCACATATGAGATTCAGTAGTATCCTTACACCATAAGTCCCCATGAAATATATAGTGGCACTGATGTGTACTGGACAGAGAGTAAACATGTTGTAACCAAAGTAGAAACCAGATAAAAAGAAACAAATAGAAAGATTGAGGTGGCTTGATGATTGGATCAAAGCATCTGCAAAACTGCTGCTTACTTTTTTAGTCTACAGTGTCTAGTATCTATCAAAAGAAGTGCAAGGAGGGACAGCAATGGACTACCAAAAACTAAATGAAGTGCAAGAGGAGTAAAGGCTTGCATATTATGTCCAGTTCAGCAGACACACTACTGCAGCTCAAATGTTAGACGTTAATGCTAGCAATGACAGACAGGTGTCAGAATATATACTGTGCATTATGGTTTGTTGGATGTGAGCTTACATAGCCTCAGACCAGTCAGAGTCCTCATGCTATTCATTATGTCATAACTAATTAGTGTATGTCTTCGTACGATTTATCAACACTGTTTTGATAAAAACTACAAACAGGGCTTTTTTTTAATATTTATTAATATTATTTCAGTTCATAGGTTCATGCAGTGAAACACATTTTGTAGATCAGATAGATAAAGATGGATATTTTACCCTTTTCTTCTGTTAATAACAATGATTTAATGAAAATGCACATATTTTCCTAAAGGATTTGAATATAACATCAGTCTAACATTTCTAAAACTCAAATATAAGGATATTAAAAATATAGTATATATATATATATTTGATATCAATAGCATTTTCAAAATATGCCTTTAATTTAAAAGAAGAGCTAACTTATTAGAGGTAACTCTATGAGTTGTGGAATACGCAACTAACAGATCTAAACAGAATGATGCAGTTTCCCCCTCATATTTAGAGTAAAACACAGCTATGTTACTTCCTAACATAAGATGCACTGGCACTGTGGCCACAGATCTTAAATGTTCTATATATATAAAAAAAAAAAAAAAAATTAGATCTGTAAATTCAATCACATCTTAAGGATGCTCTTTCAGACTTGGATTTTCATGATTTCAGAGGAAATGCAACAAGGCAGCAATACTGCATGACTAGAACAAAAATATTTCTACATGATTATAGCGCATTGTATCATTAGCAGCTTTAGTGATCATGGCAGTAGATTATCACAGACGTTCCAGAAGCAGCAAAAAAGGAGGTTTTTATTAAACATTAAAGAGACACTGTCTCTTTTTTTATCATTAAGATGTTTGCACTTGACTTTAAATAGTCTTTCCAGTGACTTTGAGTTTATTTTTTTCTTATGCAACTTTCAGGAAAAGCCAGCTTCAATTTATACCCGTTTTAATGATATTCTATTAACCTCGAAATCTACTGAATGAAATAAAATTCCTATAATCTGGTTAAAGTCTACTGTAGGAAAATGTAACTTATGTGCCTCTGAAGAATACATCTATCAACAGAAGGTTGCTCCCAAGGGTCATTATCACTAAAAAAGCCTACTGGCAAAAATGAGGATTTGAGGACAAACCCATAGAATAGCATAAAAAGGATGAGAAATTATGTATAAATAAGTTGAAATACTGTATATAAATATTTAATCAGTCTTATGTTTATTTCTACAAGTTTTCAAAATGCTGGAAGATATAAACTAATATAGAGGGATCAAGAAAGTGTGCAAAAGATGGATAGTTTCCAGGTACAAAAAGAAAGTAGGCAGGAATTAAATGGTGTTCAGTTTAGTAAAGGGGGGGTTAACCATATCATCAGTGGTTAAAAAAATGTGGGAATTTATTGCATTTCTTCATCTTCACATCATGAGCTGCTTTAGTTGTGGTCAATTGATCCTACAGCTGGAACCTCCTACACATCTATGTATGTATTGACTGCAAATGTGTTTATGTAGACCATTCCCTTATAGGGAGAACGGCAAGACTATAGGCATCACCAAATGGTTGCTGAGTGTCATAAAGAATCCAAACAAATTTTTCTTTTTTCTATACCTACGTTTCCTTTAATTTGCAAAAAAGTATACTTACATTAAGTGTATATGTTGTCAAGTTTATTACACCAGAACATTAAAACTGTCTTTTGGTAAGGGCAGCTAGAAACGGTGCAATTGCTCTTTCGGGGTGAACATCCCTTAGCTAAAAGTCTGCCTGTCTCTGTTTTTAATTAGATTCTGATATCAGCCCTTTTCTCCCATCCTTCCCTCTCCTCTCCCAACATCCGTGAAATTGAACGGCATTATCTATTATTTATTCACCCTCATTTGCTTATTGTTTCTCGTGGATGCCTTCGTTAAGCCACTTGCTGCTCTGCTGCCTGTGATATGATGCTCTGCTTCAACTGCCTCACTGTTCAGGCCCACCTCCTCTGCAGGTCTGAGTCCAACTCATTTGCTGGCGTTGGTTGGGGAGCTATGGATTTTTTTCCCCTTTCACCCAATGACAGCACGGTGAGGTGCTATGAGGGCTGAGTGCTAATGAGCTGACTCTGCAATGCCGGGGAAGACGCTCTCTAACACAAAGGGGGGGATCATAGAAAATAGCAGAGATGCTCCAACAGACAGCGGAAGTCAAGGGGCCATTATGATCATGTCATGCAGGGGGTTAGAAGGACACAGCTGCAGCAGTTTTTTAGACAGTGCCATGGGCCAAAAAGTTGACATTTTCACAAAACTGAATATCTTGTTTATATTAAATTGCAAAACTGAATATTTTATTTACTTTTGCTCATTTATGATTTTTTTCAAGAAATGGTAAATGAATCACAGGGAGCTTTTTTTGCATCTCCTATGTTGGTGTGATCATCCACACACAATAAAAATACTATATGTACGCCTACTCAAATATAATATATATATATATAATAAATTATGGACACTAACCAAAGAGCTTTTTAGTACAGATGTGATAACTTCAACAAGAGGGCAGCATGTTTACTAAGTTTACTAAGCTTCATATGGCTTAGGGAATCTCATATCAATAGTACAGTAGCATTAATGCTTATAATAAGCTTATAGGTTAAAGGAATAGTACACCCAAAACATGATTAGCCTTCATTTTCTACTCACCCCCATGCTGAACAACACTCTGGAGTACTTTTTGATATCTCAAATGCATCTGGAGATCTGGGAGGCTTCTTGCTGTCTGCTGACATTCAAATAATGGAGGTCTATGGCGCCCGAGACAGAATTTACTCGAAACGAAGTCATTTAGAATGTTTTTAGAGCCTAAACAGTAGTGTATAGGATTTCCTGAAAGCGCGCGCCTGCGCGTTCACATATATATGTGCATATAAATATATATATATATATAT